CGCGCCTGACTTCTTCTTTCCTGTAAAGATATGTTTATTTTTTGCCTTCCGAGGGTCCGAGGACCAGCTGCCTGCCGTTCTGTCTTCTTCCGAGGTGTGTGTCGGGTTGTTTTGGCTTTTCCTTCGCATCTTTGTTGAGATAGATGTCTTTTGTGTGTCTATGCCTCTGCCATAGAATACTCAGTCTTGTGGTCAAGAGATTTCTCGAGTGACAACCATTGGGGTTTGATCTTCACAAAGATCTTGATGTGATCAAGGTGGAGAGAGACAAGCATAAACAACGTGCCCTGTTTGACTAAGTCAAATGAGATGGGGTGGGTTTCTTTGGTTTGTTTGTTTCTGTTCCTCATTCCTTTAAAAATAGGGGAATAGTATTTTAGAGTTTTATGCAGAATTTAATTCTCTTTTGATGGTTAAGATTTTAAGATTTTCTTACTTGCACATAAAAATAATTTGGGTTCTTAAACTTAATTTCTGGCCTGTGACTAGAATGTTTTAAAAAAAACAAGTTGGACTAAATGTTAATTACTGAAACATTAACTTAATTTCTAAAACCATGGTGCTATCATTTATTAATCTGTAATGTCTTCATACAAAATGCAGCTCCTGGACTGGGTTTTTTTTTGGGGGGGGGGGAGTGTTCTGTCCTGGTCTGGAGTCGGTTGCTGCAGTCTCCTTGGTTAGTTAAGACAAAGCCCTCATTAACGTTTGCTGCAGGACTTAAAATTTTGTACCTCCCAACTAACAAACATAGCCTCGTGTTAAATTTAATGGGTCAGGAAAGTCCTTTTTAAAGGGGCTTCTGGAAAACTCTGTCAAACTGATTTGAGGAGCGGTATAGGTACATACTGCCTTTCGTTGAGCTTTATATTTGTTTTTTCCTTACTCAGTCTAACTGAGGCTAATTTTGCAACTTCAATAACACTTCAGAGTAAAAGAAGGAAAAATATTTAACATGTTTTTGATTTTTTTTTTTTTTCATTTCTTGCTTAAAAGAAAAGGAAGGTTGCATTTTGGGGGACTGATTTGATGTGATGGAATTTACTTCCCTTTGGTTCTTCTTTCTGGGTTGAAACCAGTAAGTTTTAAAACTAAAGAATGGGTTAATAAGCTTCAGACAGATAACTGCAACTGAAAACTGCACATTAAGTAAAAAAAGAAAAAAAAAAGAAAAAGAAAAAGAAAAAAATATCCTATTTTGTCTTTGTTGCCAGAAATCAGTGTGGTGTCAAACACTCCAAATGACTGTCAAGTATAAATTCTTCTTCCACTTCATTTTTGGCAGCTGTTTGTTAAGGCATCGAATAACAGTTGTAAGAACTGTAATGTGTACAATGTGTACGTGTCCTTGGCTGTCAGTCCCATTGCAGTTTCAATGTGTGTTTCTATATGCAGTATATACTAAGCTAATGTAGTTGTTTTGTCCTTTGTCTTCTCTGTGCTCTATCTCTAGTCCGGAGTGGTACAGTCCCATTCCTGCAGTCCTAGTGAATCAGTGATCTTGGGGGTTAGTGGTTTTTGTGTGGTGGCCTTCCTCCGTAATGTCACCCTATGCTGCTTCTACTGTCTGTGAATCTTCCGTTTTTACCTTTTAAAATTCCTGTTGTTGCTTTGCTGGTGTATAGTCTCCCTACCTCTCCTGTCTTTTCCTCCCTTTCCTGTCTCCCCCACTTCCCTCCTCTTCATCCTTTCCCCCTATCTCCAAACTCTCTTTCATTCTCAGAGATTTAAAAAAAAGAAAAAAAGAAAAAAAAAAAAAAAGACTCTTAACTAGCTCAAGGTTAATGGAGCCATTTTTTCCCACAACGGAATTCTGGGTATGACTCTCTCTTCTGGAGTGCAACACAAAGCACTGAAGAATAATGCTCAGATATATTACATAAATTGATGCCATATAGCCTCAGTTGTTAACATTCCCAGAGTCCCTTGTGCTCTACCTATAAGCAGTGGGTGCTTTTCTTTGGTTTCCTTTCAGGTTGGCTGATGGAGCAATATATAAAGCAATTACCAGTGAGACAGAAAATTATTTCAAAGGTCAACCACCATTTTTAAGAAACAAAATGGGAGGGGGGAACAGAATCTAGAATTGTCATATAATATTTGTTTATTTGTGCAATGCTAATATAGTAACTTGGCTGTCCTTTGAATATCACTGTGTTGAGTGGATTCCTCAAGGACCTTTGATTCCATGAGTTGGGCCCAGACCGTGGTGGAACAATAACAAATAGATGCTAAATGCCACAGATTTTAATAGTGAGCTTACTTGAAGGATTTAAATAGGTTTAGAAGGTGAAGAAGGTCGATCAAGAAATTTAAAGATTAATTTTGGAAGCTCTGCTCTAGCTATCGAACAATCAAAGGAATGCACCTATCAGCTACAAAGAACAGCTAGACAGCTGTTTTTGTTTTTTTTTTCTTTTATAAATGTTTCTGTGTTGTGTCAAAATGATTTCTGGTGATTTAAACTAACAGATAATCACAGCTGCTGTCTAAATCCATAGTGTTTAAAATTACAAAATGAAAAAAAAAAAAAACACTTCATTACCTGTGAAGACTGTGTCTGTGTTTTTAACTATTTCTTGTACAAATATATGAAAACTTTTATGAGGAGACTGGTGCCAAGTAGCTGAATAATGGGGAAAGGGATATTCTGTTCGTAAAAATCTTAGCAGTGTTACCAACTCTACGATATATATATAAAAAATAATTAAAACGTTACAAAGCGACAGCTATGGTACATTTGTTTTGTGTGAAGCTAACCGGACCTAACTTCCTGAGTGCCTGGCTTATTTTGAAACATTTTTTTTCATTGACCATTGATAATGCTGCAAATCAGAAATGTACATACTTCATTTACAACAGGGTTCTTTTGATACTTTTGTAGATTCTCATACATGTCACATACATGGTTGTCTTTATGTAACTTAATTTTTTCATCCGCAGGTGCCATTTTCATAATAAACTTCTCTTGGATTTGTTACTATCTGGCATCATTTCTTTTACATGTAACCATCCTAACTAATGAATGCTGGTAGTATTTGTTTAAGCAGGTACCTTGGTCATTATTCTTTATTTTTAAAAAGTTTAAAAATACATTCATGTTTTTGCTAGTTTTGGAAAAAAAATATACATCTTGTGAACTGATGAGGCTGACAAGGCCCAGATTAAGATGCTAATCCAAATACTACACCAAACTTGCAATCATCCTAAATTTTCAGCTACCCCAACTCATTGTCATACTGAGCATTATTATGCACATTATCAAAGCTGAACAATGGGCCTGCAACATTAACCACTATGGGAAGTGTGCATTTTTTCTTGATTAATGCACAGTGAGTGATGACAGTTTTCATACATTAATCATTTAAAATGCACTCGATATTTCCATGTATTACAGTCTTTAATGTATAATCAACCGTTCCATCGCTTATATCTTCTCTTTATACTAAATAATGTATTTTCTTTCTTCAGACAAGCTAAGTCATGGTTGTGCTGTATTATGGTTAGGTTAGCATGTGGCCTGTCACATTTTAAAGAGAGTCATCTGGTAACTCTTTAGGAAGAGTGTCAAGTGTTATCAAAAAGTCAAGGATAAGGTGGGTCAACAGTGAAGGCTGTGGTCTCCAAAAAATGAAGAGATATGAATGGGCTGAGCCGGGGGGGGGCGCGTGGGACAAGCACTTTTGTCCAAAAGCCACCAACAATAACAAATATCATCTCCCTAGTCTTCAGGGACATTTGTCAACTTGTGAGTAGTTTTGATTAATGGAAGGGTGCAGATATGGAAATGTGGTTAGGATCGTGGGGCTCTAGATGTCTCTGCTATGCTTTGAAATAAGTACCTAAAAATAGGGAATAGAGAGAGGGTGATCGAGAACACAGAATTGGGTTTGCCCAACTACTTTTCTAAAATTTATTTTCCTTTTGCTCTTGAGAGTCAGAAGGATATAGAATAGCAAGACTGAGAAGTCAAAAGTTGATGAAACTGGAAACTATCCTGAGCAGATGACTGAATAACGCTGAGAGATGAAGCCAGCTTACCCCAGGCACTGTCTGGTAGACGTCTGTGAAACTGGCTGTTGGTGGTGGCTTCAAAGCTTTGTACAGGGCAGGGTCCTGCCAAGGCAGAGGGGCAATTGTATGAGTATGGGATTGGATGGCGCTGATGGTCAGCCACAACACTTTGCTTCTGGGCATTCCGTCGGCCCTGTGATCCAGAGATGGTAGCAATAAGGATTGAAGTGGGGAAGCCAGACATGGTGATGTTCTCACAAGCCGGGCACAGTGGTTCACGCCTGTAATCCCAGCACTTTGAGAGTCCAAGGCAGGAGGATCACTTGAACCCAGCAGTTCAAGACCATTCTGGGCAACATGGCAAGACCTTGTCTCTACCCCCAAAAAAGTTTTAAATAGCCGGGTGCGGTGACATGCTTGTAGTCCCAGCTACTTGGGAGGCTTAGGTGAAAGGATCACATGAGCCCAGGAAGTCAGGGTTGCAGTGAGCTGTGATTGAACCACTGCACTCCTGCCTGGGTGACAGAGTGAG